ATCAGCACGGGAGTGGTCACCCTCTTATATAAAAAGGGCGATCTGGCGGAAATAAAAAACTACAGACCAATAACGCTCCTTACCGTGGTCTACAAAATACTTGCCAAACTTCTGGCCAACCGTCTCAGCAAAGTTACGAGCAGTTGTTTCCACATAAATCAAACAGGCTTCATTCCAGGACGTTTTATCCTCGACAACGTCATGACTCTGACAGAGTCGGCTCGCTACATCACTCACAAGAGACTCAATGCGGCCATTCTCTTCTTCGACTTCGAAAAGGCATATGACCAAGTCAATTGGAATTTCCAACAACAGTGCATGGAAAAAATGGGAGTGGGCCCCAACTTTCGGAAATGGGTACGGGTTCTCTACAACCATGCCCATGAACAAGTACAAATTAACAGTTTTCTCTCACCACTATACAAAATGTCCCGTTCGGTCAGACAAGGAGACCCGCTGGCAGCCCCGCTTTTTCTGTTCACTATGGAGGTAGTAGCATCCTTCCTACGCAAGGATCCATCGATTGACAGATTGATAGCCGAGCCTGCCCCTTCAAGGCATGAAGTACATCTGTCAACCGCCCTCCTGTTCGCAGATGACCTCACCGCACTGATAAGGGCCTCCAACTCCTCTTTTCAAGCACTAACGAGAGCCATGCAAGCCTTCCAATTGGCCTCGGAAATGAAGATTAATTGCCAAAAAAACATGGGCTGGTGGCTATCAGACACACCTCACCCAACAGCAGAGGACACACCAGAGGGCTTCGCTTGGCAGAATTCCAAAACACCACTCCGTTATCTGGGGATAAAACTCACTGAAGCAGGTCCCGATCATGTGATGGCCCCAGAGATCCTCACCAAGATGCTGCGGAAGCTGGACACATGGTCCAGCATCTACACATCCGTCTTCGGTCGAGCCTTGGTGCTCAACGCTTCCATTTTCTCCATGCTCTGGTATGCAGCATCCATCTGGACACCAACGACGCAGACGGCGGGTACACTCAAGAGACGAGCTACGACCTACTTGGGGACAGGTGACTCTTCAAGAACAAACTACATAGCAAAAGTGGCGTGGACTCATCTCATCCAACCCAAGGACAAGGGGAGACTGGGCCTATTGGATCCCGCCACACAGATGAAGGCCCTTCAGACCAAGTGGGTAGTTAAGCTGCTTACACAAGCCGACCTGCCCTGGACCACCCTGGCCCTGTACAGGATAAGGCAGCTGCCGGTGGCCAATACACCCTCCAACATGCACGGACTCTTTTGGCTGATGGCCAAATCTTGGTCGGTCCACCGCAGGACCATCACGCAACAGAAGCCCCACCACCAAGCCTCCAACAACAACAGGAACAGAGGAACAACAAGGACTACTGGTTGTACCTCATCGACGCATGGAGAGAGATTTTTCCGGCCAAGGTCCGAGAACCTGCGAATAGAGACGAAGTACTATGCCAACCTATTTTTTGCAACCAATGGGTGAAGGATCAGACAAGGAAACCATGGACACTCACAACAAGAGATACCCGGTGGATTACCTGGTTAGAACATGGAGTGTGGTAGATTAAACATCTATGGAACCACCAATACAACGGATGGAAGACACTCTTAGAACTCAGAGGGTCACCCAAAGGTTGTCACGGACTGCAAACAAACCTTAACGACATGCTCACATCAATTCCTTCGGAGTGGCAACAACTGCTTCAAAGACGGAATGGAAGAAAGGGGACTGGGCGACTTGGTCCTGGGAGAATCCGCCAACAGAGGTGATGTCCTACGTCAGAAAGGAGGGTCCCTCAGACCAGTGGGCTCTCTGGACCATGCACGATATCGAACAACCAGGCCGCACAGTCAGTATAGTATCCCAAGTCATTCGAGCCAGGGTCACAGCCAAACTTCAACTACTCAAAAGGGTACGGGTGATAGAGGACGAACAATATAGAATCTACGCAGCGACAACAACCATACAAGATTTAGAATTCGACCCAGCAGAGTGGACCTGGAAAACATCTTCTACAGCCTCAATGGTGTCTCATCACACCAACATCCTCGACTACTCCACCAGACTGGGTTACAAGCTGAGAAGACGTCCAGTCAACACACAGCAGATACTCACGCAACGCTGGAACAAACACCTCGCTGGGAGAACCGGAAGTCACAGCACAATTTCCTGGCAAGTGCCTTTGTCCATCAGGAATACGAAAGTGAGGAGCATGCAGTGGCTGATCTACTATTTCGCTCTACCAGTTAACCAATGGATCAGTAAACGATGGTCTCCTGCAGCACGAGTCGACTTCGACGAAATCTGTGCGCTCTGCGAAGAGGGTACTCCAGAAGACCTCCCACACTGCCTACTAACCTGCGAGTCAGCAGCCCAACTAAGGGCCAGAGCGGCCAATCTCTGGGAAGCAGCCACATCGATCCCCCTTCCGGATGACCCGCTACTTGCACTCACAGGTCTCAAGGAACCGCAAATGCAGGAGAGGTGGCAACGCACACTGTACCGGAGACTCCGTCCTCTCACACTATGGGCAATTTGGAAGAAGCGCTGCAAACAAACAATTGCCAAGCAGCCTGTGACACTGGCAGAGGCATGGGAAGGACTCATACAAACCCTTCTCATCGAATACCACTTAGATTGGCGCCGCGCCAGGAAGCGTATACGAGACGACCCGACCAAACAACAGGACATCATTGACAACTTCAAAAGGAACGTGTTGGCAATGGTAAGCTGGGGACCATAATGGGCAACACCCTCAGACTTGCCTGGGGCACCCTGGCAAGTCAACAGCTTCACGATGACCGCGGCTCGACAGCCTCCCAAACACTCTCAGATGCAGCACTGACCCTCGACAGCAGGTGAAATGTCAACGAAAGCTTGGGACTTAAAACGCGAGGAACAACTAAGGAACATTCCTGCGCCCTCAGGTTGGATAACCCCGCTCTAGCCGAATATGCCGATCTGACAGCCTCCCAGCTGAGAGGAGCGGGCTTAGACCAGACCACATAGGACCCAGAGTTTTTGAAAAGGGCACTGGCACACCAGGAGGGTCTCCACAGGAAAGGTTGTTTTTCGAGCAACAGGCAGAGGAGACAACCTCACAGCCTTCCAACTGAGAAGTGTGGGCTCTCACCGGATTGTAGAGGACTTGGGGTGGTAGAGCAGGATTACACCTGATCTTAGAAGACTCAGGATTTTTTGAAAAAAGGGCCTTCACACAACAGGAGGATACCCACAGGGAGGACAGACTTCCGGTAGCAGGCAGGGGGAAGAACGGGGTTTAGGGTTTTAGAAGAGAAAACCCTTTTTTTTTTTTTTTTTTTTTTTTTTTTTTTTTTTTTTTTTTTTTTTAAGGGGACAAGGCTCCAATCTATTCGTGGGGAGCAGCACGTGCTGGGAACTGGGCCCAGCGTCCCATATGGAAATTTACATAGAAGTTTGAAAATTTGAGTATGATACCAGGGCCTTTACCCGGCTTTGGCTAAGAAAAATTTGAGCTACTTAGCAAATTACTACGACAAACTTCAGAAATAAGAAAAGTTCAGAAAACGACTCAGAAACCCCCATCAATCCTCTTTACCTCACTCCGGCAAGACTTACTGCAGCAGAGCCACCATCTCCGCTGCTGCTGTACCCTATTTCCGTCCTACGAGCTAGCCCCCTCACTAGTAGGACGCTTGATATCCAAATCCAAACTAGTTTCCAGGAAGTATGAGTAGCCTTGGGTTGGCTTTCATTACTTTCTCCCTTTTCACTGAGACCCCACGAGGACTGGCTTTGATAACTAGGTGGAGGATTAGCTAGAGGAGATCTCCGAAGAAGGGGACACTGGACCCATTTTCCTGTTAAAGCCCAAGCTGAGTGCTGGCCACATTATTCTGGGTTGAGATGTGGAGGGATTCCCGGCCTCGTGTTGCTCATATAAATAAATAAAATCAAGTTAAAAAAAAAAAAAAGAGAAACCAAAATAATTCCAACCTGGAGCTTGGAAATAAATTTGGAACTTGGAACTTTGGAACTTGGAACTTTGAAACTTGGGACTTGCCAACATATGGTAAGCAACTCAAAGAAGCGCTTACATTTAAGTCACAGCATTCTTCCTTTTTAGGAGGGCGACGGCCTTGATGGCCGTTGAGGCTATCCTCGTCATAGGACTCACCAGGCAATCACCGCGGGTTGGGACTTGCCAACATATGGGAAGCAACTCGAAGAAGGGCTTACATTTAAGTCACAGCATTCTTCCTTTTTAGGAGGGCCATGGCCTTGAGGGCCGTTGAGGCTATCCTCGTCATAGGACTCACCAGGCAATCACGGTGGGTCTGGTCCTTGGCCTCTACAACATCCTGGGCTTAAAAAAAAAAAAAAAAGGACTCACCAGGCCGAGGTAATTCCGAGTTATTTTACTTATCTGATTCCATGAGGGTTCGAGCTCAGGTCTGTTTATCAACAGCTACGTGCGTGTACCATTCAGCGACATGAGCAGGGCGCAAGTCACAATATTTCATTTAACAAATTAACATGGAAATGCTGAAACTCTCACGATATTCAGAATTAAACAACCAGTACTTGGCCCATACACCGGCCGCGGGAAAAACTAGAGTAGAAGCGTTTCTAGTCAGATGAATTTGGCCGCTCCCGTAGTGGCCTGTTCATTCATCGTCGCCGCGGCTTCTTAACCGCCGCAACTTTAGGAACTAATGGTGGTTTAAGTTCAATTAACTATCTGTTTGAAATCACCGGAAAGATATGCATTTAACGAATTGCAACTACAGGTCTAGTTTTTTGGAGCTTGGAACTCGGAACTTGGAACTTGGAACTTGGAGCTTGGAAGTCGGAACCTGGGCCCAAGTCCCACTTACCCGAATCCTCAATTTATGACCATAGGTTAAGAGGATCAACGGTCCGAAATGAAGAATCAGCACTTGGCTCCTGGAACCTGGGAGCGACTACGAACAACTAACAGGGTCCTTTTTTTCCATTTGGCATTCGTGATATGGCAGAACGAGGATGCGGAGGAGCTCATGAGGAAGATTGAGAAAGAAGAGGAGCGGGCACAATATCAGGTAGCACCGACCAAAAAAGGAAACAAACATTAACAAAGAAATGGATAAAATATATATATATATATTATAATATATATAATAATATTAAATTAAATTTAAATATAATATTAAATTAAATTTAAATATAATATAAATAAAATTAATAAATAAACAAATAAATAATAAGAATCAGGTAGCACCATAGCCTGCTTAGTAAATAAATACTAGGGTCAGGCTGTGCCCATGGAATTGGGATGCTGAACTAGTCACAGAGACCTGGTCCAGAATGCAGACCAGCCTGGTTCAGAATGCAGACCAGGACTACACTAATTTTGACTTATGATAATTCCACTGCTCAGACTTGGCCCCTTTACATCTATCACATTTCTTTTTGATAAAGGCTGCATTTTTCTGAGATAAAAAAAATATTTGTCTGGGGTGCATCACACCATTTCCTTTTCCATTGGCAAGTCACAAATTTTTTTTTTTTTTTTTTGTCAATGCAACCCGAGGCATTGCTAGGGGTGCTGGTGAAAGCAGGCACCACTAGCACTCTCTGGGTGGCTCCGTCTATTGGTGGGGAGCAGCACCTGCCAGGAAACGGGCTCGGCGTCCCTTTATACAAAAAGAGCCAAAATTGCACTGTGCACTGTTGCGTTTGTCTTCCACTGTACTGCTTGTCTAATGAGGCTGTGTCTGCACACCCCACGGGTAAGGAGCTTTCACTACCTTCTGAAAAGTCCAGCCTCGCAGTCACCTTCTTCCTGTCCGGTGTGAACCTGTTATTGACGGCAGGCTAACTGCTTCTAAGTTTGTTTTGCCAGCACGTACTACCCTATTGTAGTGTTCCTGCCTGTACTATATTCCCCAGAGTGTTCTGTTCACCGCAGTAGAAAGTATCAGTTGCCTTTGGTTGTCCGCCGCCACAACGGGCTCAACTCTATCTGTGACTGTTTTGTCATCTCATACTACATAACGGACTATTCGCAGCAGTAGAAGATGTTTGTTGCCGTTAGTTGTCTGCTGTTGTCGCCGCCTTCCAGTTGTTCTATGGTTCTCTTCCCAGCCCCTGTACCGACAGAGAAGCCACATTCGTACAGATGAGGATGTCATGAAGCTGTGAGGATGTTGTCACCATTGTCCTTGCTTTGAGCATTCTCATCATTTGCAGGCGCCTTGGTTTCCCTGGCTGGCCGGGTGACGGGGTGGGTGAGGGGAGCTGGTGGGCTAGAGTGTGGGGGAGATGGCGTTGGGGGTGGATCGGCCAGAGGGAGCTGAGGGGGATGCGGTGGGGTGACAGGCAAAGCCCCCGACGGGATAGGGGGAGGGGGTGTAGGGGTCAGGGGTGGGGGGGAGGGGGGGGGGGGGGGTGTGGGGGGGTCGTGATGGTAGATGAGGGGTCAAGGGCAGGGAGGGAGAGGCAGGGGGAGAGGGCACAACACTCGGTACCTGGGAGGACTGGCTGTTAGTTTGATCGGGGTGGGTCAGTGTCGTGGCCGGTTGTCCCGGGAGTGGGGTATGGAAACAGTCCATTGTCTTGTAGTACCATGTGTTGTCCTCTGCCGCCCAATTCTTCCACTGTATTTTCCCATTTTCTTGGATCTCTGCTAGCCTGCATTGGGGGTCCAACAAATGGTGTCTAAAGGACTTGGCAACCCATTCTCTCGCCTCCCTGTCGGGCATGACAACCATTTCTTCAATCAGTTTCTGGCTGGCTTTTAGGATGTTTGCCCTGAGCACTTCCACTAGTTCTGCTTTTGCCTGGTGGAATCCAAAGGCGGAATCTTGCCTTCCTGCAGAGCACCTCGTTCTCCATATCACCATGAGCACAGCCAGTCTCATGTACTTGAAGAGGTTACTTTGGAACAATGTCCAGGATGCTGGATGGGCCCTCTGTCTTCCCAGCAGAATAAGCCCGACATCCCAGTGGAACATTGTGCCTGTTAGTGTGTGTCAAAGAGCATCCCACCACTGCCAGATCTGTTTGGCCATCGGGCATGCTAACAGACAGTGTTCCAGGTCTGCCCGACTGTGTTGCGCACTGACTCCGCAGTGGGCGCAGATGGGGGACAGCACTCCTGCTTGTTCCAGTGAGCGAGAAACCACCCAGTCCGGAGTTGGGAGGCAGCGGTGGAGTATTTGCCACTGCAGGGCCTTATGGGATGTAGGCATTATGTGTGCACACGTTTCCCAGGGGATACGGTGCAGATCGGAGATACTCACCGGGGAGTCCCTTTTCCACCGATTCCGTACGACCGGAGTGGAAGTTTTGAGCGGATGTGATTGTTTGTACCATTCTCTTACCATGTATTGCCAGAATGGAATGGGCTTGCGGCCGCTCCATTCCCACTCGTCTGGGTCAAAGGGGAGGGCGCAAACTGGGGAAGCCATTTCATAGGCAAAGTAGCCCGTGTCTTTCGATCCCACCACCCTAATTCTCGTGAGCTCTTCCTTTGGCTTCCAACAGTCCCAGTTTGGGTCCATTTTAAGAGTTACCCATCTCGCCCCTGTCACATCCGGTCGGAAGGCCTGCAGCCGAGCTTCTTCTTTAGCTATATGATTTATCATGTAGATTGTCATAGGGATGGGGTTACTACTGTTGTGCGTGACGCAGTCCAGGCTGCAGTAGGTCGGTCCGTCGTGAAGAGCGGCAACCCATTGAGGCGGGGCAGCCGATTGAAGCTTACGTAGCTTCCCCAGGCTATGCTTGATATTCCTCAGGTTGTGCCGTAGCTGCTGAGGGGACTTCCATGTTCCCTGTCGACTGTCCCAAAGATCACCCACTACATATATGCCATTCTTCATCCATGTGAGCCAGTGAGAGTTGGCTTTTAGAGAGAAAGGCTCGTCAGAATTATCGTGCACTTGAGGGTTTATAGTAATTGACTCATGGCATACTCACACTAGCACTTTCCAAAATGCATCTGACTGCAATTACGGGCAGGCCTGGATGAATACAACTGGAATCATGTCCAGCGCTTTGTAGAAAAAGTCATATTGTTAGTCTGCCCTCACTGTGCATCCCGCTCCCTGTTATGGCCAGGGTAGTAGGGCCTCCCTCCCCCTCCTTTGTCTCTCTGTGTTCCTATCCCATCTCTCTCCCCCACCACCTCTGCTCCCCCTTCCTCCCTTCTTCATTGAACTCCAGAACCCGACAACAGAAGCTCTGGAATATGCATAGAATACTCTCAGAATATTCGCAGTATGCTTACAGAGATACTCTCTGAAGGGGTGATAAGAGGAGAGGCGACCCGGATAGGGCAACTTCTTTTTTTTTTTTTTTTTTTTTTTTTTTTTTTTAACCACTAGTACCTTTGTTGTCCGGTTTTGACAAGTTTTAGCCAGGTCCCGAACTTTTAGGAGGCCGGGCCCAACAACAGCCGGTTGATAAATCTGATCGACGACCGTCGTTTCATTTCGGCCTCCTGAAAGGTCGGAGGCCCACTCATTATTTTCCGAACCGACAAAGGTACTAGTGGTTTAATCTTTAATGTAGAGGCTGGATTATGGACATATGAGAGTCACCTTCGGCACTCGGCCATGTGGTAGAGGCCCCCTAATCCTATGGGACTCCCTCCCAACCTACCTCTTTCGTAATTTCTCCCGGCGCACTCCTACTCCCGCTATCCTACCTCAGTGTCTACCCCTCAGGATCGTCACCCTCCAGCCTGGGGGTGACTTGACCGAACAGTGGTTGTAGGTACCAGGGCTAAGTTCAGGCGGGGAGAAGCACTGGTAAACTTCTTCTACCGCACCCAACAGAACCGACTGATCAGAGGGGCACAAAATGACGTGTTTTGGATGAACATTGAGTTCGTCCACATGGTGCGGGTGTTAGGAGAAGGAGACTCTTGGGTGGCCTTTAGGCCGGAAGTGCCAATCCAGGACCTCCCTATTGACGTGGCGGAATGGAGATGGGAAATCCCCTCAAGGAATGGTCAGTCGAAATACCGATATCTCCATACGTTGGAATGGGTTGCAGTTGCCAGCGACATCCCGCTCCCCCCTGCCTCGGATCTCCCTGATATTTTCCCCCTCCCAAATACCGCCCTGGTGGACCTGAGGTGGTATCGTAGGAACCAGGAGGGGCCCGTCCAGCAGGGGCCGAGGGAAGCAGGACATGATGTATAGGGGAAGAGAGAGGAACGGACTATCTGCCGCCAGGCGCCCCCTGGCAGCAGAACCGGTCTTCATTCCCCCCCTTACTATTAAGATCCAGCCTGCCTGGGACACTGCTGGAACGATCAGCCCTCCCCCATCCAGGCCAACAAATCTCCCGGATGCCTCAGCAGCAGACATGTGATCTGTGTATACTACCACTCAATTTTTCCCTATTTCTGTACTTTGTAGGTGAGCCCTGCAGCTGACTGTCATCACAATTATATGTCAGATCAAACAAACAGCTACAATGTTCAGGGACTCTGGACCCGCTTTCCAGCAGGTCCTGCTTCCCACCAATAGATGGAGCCTCCCCGGGAATGCTAGTGGTGCCTGCTCTTACCAGCACCGCTAGCATCCACTCGGGTTGTTCTAAAAAAAAAAAAAAAAAAAACAGAGAYCCCCYCYGAAGCATGCTGGCTCAGCATGGGACCTGAGCCGGGGACCGAGCCTCCAAACATGAGACTCGAGCATGGGGCCCAAGCATGGGACCCAAGCATGCGACCTGAGCATGGGACCCAATTATGGGACCTGAGCATGGTACCCAGGAGAATGACTACTGTCTTCACCTGAAAATAACGCCCAGGCGTTATATTCAGTACATTGGTCCTCTGGGAGAGCGCAGAAAACGAAAAAAAAGAGGACCACGCCCGGTTACCCCAGGCTTCAGACACCCCCGGCGTCATGCCCCGGTGACAATCTTCCTAGAGCGCATGCAGTTTTTTCGTTTTTTTGAAGGCATGCAGAAACTCTGTTTACAACGTTAACTCTTCACCTTTCTTACCCTTCTACCAAACCTGACCCCCCATGCCTGACCTCTTGTCTCATTCATTTTGCTTTGCTTCCTTCCCCCCCTCTGTTATGGGTGGCCTTGTGTGTGGTGGGTGGTATCTGACCAGGATCCTGAAAAGCAGTGTTTTCATCTCTGCATCGTGAACCTAGTCATCGGCACACTCTACTGTGCAAAGCAGAACTTTGAGTTTGGGATCAGCCGCGTCATCAAAAGCTTGGAGCCGTACAACAAGAAGATAGAAACAGACACATGGTTTTACGCGAAGCGTTGCTTCTTGGCATTGATAGAGAATCTCGCGAAGCACATGATCGTGGTCAGTTCTCTTTATCCTGCCTTTTTGAGTCAGTTTTCCTTCCTTTTCCTTCCTTTTCCTTCCTTTTCCTTCCTTTTCCTTCCTTTTCGAGTGACTTGAGGGAGGGAGGGGAGATGGGGAGGGGGGAGGGAGGGGGAGGAGGAGTTCGGAATGCCCGCAGTTGCCTCTCCTCCTTGCTGTGTGATCTAGTAGGGCTCACAATTCAGGCCGGGCAGACCGGGGTCGGTGACAGCCCTTGGTTCAAACACAAAATAGGATATCCACCGAAGTGGTACGTTGTTTTTTCCGTTTTCTTTTCTGTTTTTTTTTTTGTTTTTTTCCCTGGTAAAGGTGTAAGTTGCAACAGACTATTATGGGATCAAGGAACTTGGAATGCTTGCAACTGAGCATCGCGCTTGACAGAGTTCAAGTTTGGCTGCAGAGATCCGACGTCACAGGCCAGATTGTATGAAGAGGTCCTTAATTAAAGCACCAGTACATGCCAGCTATCGGCCGCGGGCCCCTTTAGGAGAGGCCCCCCACCGCCGATTCATGTTAATCATCTATGGTGCTCAGCCTCCTAAATTTTCGGGAAAAGGCTGAAAAGTTGAAAACAGGTTCTCCAGGGCCGAGGTCCCAGTAGCAAAAAGGATAGGATCGAGCTCCTGAATCTGAATGTGTTTTAAGCAGAGATGCAGAAAAGCAGTTCAATCTCCATTTCCTGCACATCCCCATAAAAAAACTTGTCCAGATTCAGGCATTCTATCCGAGGGACCACGCCCCAGTCGCCAGGGGCCATCTACTGGTTGGTGGTTTAAACCACCAGTTACGTTTCCCAGCTATAAAATCAAAGTTGTGGCGTGCATGCTCCTGCGGCTCTCAGGAAGTACCGGGATGCCGCCGTTTCGCGGCACGTCCATCCAGGCAAAATGGGTCGCGTGTGACTCTGCAAGGGCCGTTTTGCCTGGATGGATGTCCAGAGAAACGGCGCCCCGGTACTTCCCGAGAGTTGCGACAGCATGCGCGCTGCGGCTTCGATTTTCTAGCTGGGAAACGTAACTGGTAGTTTAACCGATCGCTCCGTTAAGTTAGTTACCGTAGTTAAAGTCTTAGAAGAAGACGCAACGGGAAACGGCTAACCGAAGTTTTACCTGTGGTTAAAAATGTGGTGCAGTCATAGAAGTTAGAGCAAAAATGAATGGATAGCAACTCATGGTCAGCTTAGTGATGATTCGAGCATGCACTCTGGGTTGGTTATGGAGGGAGGGTTTCCCGGCCTCGAAGTTGAAATTACAATAAATAAAAAGCTTCATTGAAAAGGGGGGAAAAAAAAGGGGGTATCAGTTAGGACACTTGGCCATAACGCAGAGAAGCGTGCGTAGTGGGTAACTTGTTGTTTTAAGGGATGCTGACCCCATTCTTCAGCAAGTAATGCAAGCAGCTCATTGACCGGAAAAAAAAAAGAAAAAAAAAGAAGTCAGTTTTGGTAACCCTTTGTGATCATGCTGGATGAATGCTTAACTGAGGTTGTAACTGTGGTTGAATGTGGTTTAACAGCAGTAATTGACTGATACAGGCAGACCCGCTTTCCAGCAAGGGTGCTGTCACTTTTGTTGTATAGATTGTCCAAGCAGGAGGTGGAGGGACTTGAATTTCAGCTGGCAGGCCACTCAGGTGCCAGCAAACAACTCGACAGTATTTTGGGGGAGGAACTAGGTCATAGCTCAGGATTCGGCCCTGATTTTAGGGTGAAGTGGTTCCTCACAATCTCGGGGACTTTCGGGTCATTTTATAAAGCAATGGTATAGGACGCAGGACGGAGGACCCAGCCCCAGCAAAATAACTTGTCTAGCTTATTCAGTGATTTCAGCCAAGAGGGAGGGAGAACTAGTTCTTCAATAGTAGACATCCGGCGCCTGGAAATAGGGCGAAGAGGTTCTTCCCCTCTTTTAAAGACCTGTACAGTCAATCCTCTGGATGCCAGAGTAATCAATGCTGGCGGGTTCTCAGTTAACTTGTCTGTATTCATTTTGTATTCTGTATTCTACATATGGGAGGCTGGACCTGTTTTCCAGCAGGTGACGCTCCCCACCAATAGATGGAGCCTCTCCCCAGGTGCTAGTGGTGTCTGATCTCAAATCAGCATCACTAGCACTACAGGGGGTGCTTTTATTATTAAAAAAAAAAAAAAAAAAAAAAAAAAACCAGCAGTAATTGACTGACCGATTTCTTTTTTTTTTTAATGGGCCCAGTGCCCAAGGCTGATATTATCAATGAGAAGATTGAGGCCGGGGTGACTGACATTACTTCATTCACGACGATGCACATCAACACACCGATAGGTACACAAGAATGGAGAACTGGTAGTCGAAATCGCCGAGAGCGGCGTGCTGTAACTGTGGTTGAATGCGGTTTAGCCTTGGAACAAGCAACAGAACTGAAGGAACAAAAATGAAGGTAAGTTGTCAGATTGGTAACCGTTTGTGACCATCGCTGCACCAAAGAGGTGCCCGTGGGACAAGAGCTGGGACAATGGCACCAAGGATCATTGGGCCCAGAATGGAACAGACTAGGGTTGGACCATTCCAATGCTCCAAGCATTGGACCTTAATTGGTAATTGCTGACCATTTGTGACCATTGTTCGAACCCGTGCGTGCACGGTTGGAGGTCTGAGACCCAATGTCCGATGTACGGATCCATATCTACTGTTGAACGCTCCCGTGGAACCTGCGGGCAATTTATGACCCCTCATGGTGCGTGTGACCAGGCAGTGGAGCAGTGGGAGTCGTGCTGATTGGAGCGAAGTGTGCAAGAATTGCCGGGTCCGTGCGGTGTTGTGTGTGGCGTGTGTGAGTTAGACTCTGCCGCCTTGCAGGGGTGGGCCCAGTGGGGTGGATATCAAGGCTACCGTCGTCGTCACCCGAATAGAACGGCCGGTCATTATAGCCATATCTGGACTGAAAATTGCACCAAATACGGTTATAATGACCGGGCGTTCTATTCGGGTGACGACGGTAGTATGGTTCAGCATTCGAACTCCATGTCCTGGTTGTAGTGGTTAAGAGACTTGGCTCTTGTGGCCAAGGGCGAATCCATGCATGCAGGGGCGAGGTCTGAGGCCCGAATAGGCTGACTTCGTTTGTGGCTATCCATGGTGCTTGATTCAACTTTCTCCTCAACGTCTCTCCATGCCTCCTTCCAGCCATGGTGGACGGCTCACGAAGGAGTCAGCCTATTCGTATTCGGTCAATCCTTGGTCATTAACAATGCCTGCTTATCTACATTGTGGTATCACCGCTCCATTTATGAATTGGATCCATCCTCGCTGCAGACTGTGTGCTGCCTTGCTACACACTACTTATGGAAAGAAGAGATGAACCAGGACACAATTACCTTCCAAAGGTGGCTTGGCAAGTTGTAACGCAACCCAAACGAAAAGGAGGACTGGCTGTGCTGGACCCTGAGAGACAGATAGCAGTGCTGCTTGCGAGATGGATACCGTGGGCGATTCTGGGAGATTCAGGCTCAGCTTGGAAGCAACTGGCGGGACCTGTCCTGCTATCAATTTGGGGGTGAGATAACCCGGCTCGTGTATGGTTGCCTTCCCTTCTCATGTAATATGTGCGGAAACGAATGCCACCTGGCATATGGGGGGGAATACTCGAAGCATGGACGAGGCTCCCTCCGACACTACAGCCACCTCCAGTGATTGCAGAGAGAATACTTACCCAACCCCTGTTTCATAATCCATGTATCTATTCTGAGGAAGGAGTGCCTTTGCAATCCTCTGGTCCAGGTGCTTTTGGGAATGCCTGGATGGCTCGGGGCATAGGCGCAGTGGAAGACGTATGGGATGTGGCATTGGCCGATTGGAAATCCTAGTATGATATGTTGGCGCCACTGTTATCTGGACTTTGTCACCAACTACACCATTTACAGAAGGTACAGCAGGTGATTCTTTCTGGCTGGGTGGAAATTTTGAGAGCAGGCATTGTCCCTGCATCATGAGTGTGGCACAAGTGTGAACACCAAGAACGGCCTGACATCGGCCCGCTAGGCCGCGGCCTTTTGAAGACCAAGGGGCCCCAGCAAGCAAAATGCCCACCCTACGTGAAGCGGGGCCTGATTTCGTACAGGGGTCCCATTTTTGTCATTTCTGCATTGTTGGGCACCAGACAGTTGTCACGCGCCAGTTGGTTACACAGGCATTCCTCACGGGCATCGGAATCTTCGATGAGCCCACCAGGCTCTTCTACGGCTTGATGTGAAGCTACTGGGCCACACGCATGCCAGGCCCAAGCAGCCCGAGGCAGGGCTGCACTTTCCATATAGGAAAGTGCCCTGCCCAGAGAGGGCACATTCTGGCCTGGCAGGGAATGCGGCCACACTGCTGCTTTGTAGAGTGAGCATGCTGCATTAACGCTGGCCAGAGGCGCACACGGGCGCAGGAGGTGAGAGGGGAGCTGTGGTGGCAGCGGGCGCACGGCGGGCGCATGCTGGTTTGGTGATGGTGGGCTTCAGGAGAGGAGGCGAATGCTGTGGGGAAACAGGGAGTGATGAGGGGAGAAGAGACACGTACCTGGCGTATGCTGGTTGTCTGCATTGGCGACGTCGTCACATACATTGGTCTTCAGCTCGAAGTGACTCCCAGTGCATATACGTAGTAGTGTAGGCTTAGTATAGTTGCTGAGTAGGATGGGCTGGGTGCTGAGCGCGCCAATCAAGACGAGCGGCATTGGATACTATGCTGGTCTCGCGAGAGAGTGTCAGCATTGACATTTGAGTTCATTGCATTGCTCTTGTTTGGCCGGCATCTCGGTGCATTGGGGTTTTCTGCTTGGTACACGTACTACACGACTATCTGGTCTACAGCGTGTTACTGCAATTTGGTTTTCTGTCTATAGCTCTCGCTCATATTCCTTGCAAATACTTGTCGGGCCGAGGCCGAGTTCTCAAGTCTGCTCACACTGGAATGTCCGCAACAGGCAATGACCCCGCCTGCATTTCTCTGGGGTTTTCTTGTAAATACAGTAGGTACTAGGTAGTAGAAAGACTATGAAAGTCTTCGTTTGATTTTTGTTTTTCCTCGTTGAAATTGTTGATTTGATTGGTTGTTTTGTTCGGTCCCTGTAGAATGTTTGTTGCAAGCCATACAAGATTTTGGTTACTTTTGTAGATTAGGGCTTGTCGCTCCCCAGAATGGCAGGAGCCAGAACCGAGAGGTTCTGACTTTCCCAAAAAAAAAAAAAAAAAAAAAAAAAAAAAAAAGAGGGCTTGATCTGGACTTAGGTGGAATGACAGAGCTAGACTTAGGAGGTGGAAGGACTGATAGTAGTAGGACTGGAGTTATGTGGAATGATTAACAAAAATACAGGGACTGAACCGAGATGAGAAAAGGGGCGAATTCTGGTCATAGTCGTGGCCCAGGCTTTGCTTGGCCGGACAGCCTGTCAGCTGCGACCAACTTTGTAAGGGACACCGGGCGCGGTTCCGGGCAATGCTCTTTTTCCAAAAAAAAAAAAAAAAAAAAAAGCACAAGGCAGAGAAGGAAAAGGCATCGAGCCAAACAGTAGCAAGGCAAAAAACAGCAAACAAGAAAAATATAAGTACCAAAATAACACAAAGCGAAGAAAAAAAAAACTGATGATGATTAAAAAAAAAAAAAAAAGGGACGATGATTAAGATTGTTTCAGCGGAATTGCACCGACTCATCAGGAGGCTGAGCCCTCGACAATCTGCGGTATTCTTGTATTGATGCTTCGGGTCATGGACTCTTTAAACCCCAGGCCGGTTGGACGTGGGCCGCATGCAGGCAACACCGTACAAATGGAATATGGCAGCACGACAACAACTCAGGGACGCAACAGGCGATGCTAACGGGGGCAGCCCAACTATACAATGCCACAGCGAACTGCATGAAATGACGGAGCAAGTGGACGGGCGGCGAGGCAACAACACAGCGACACACAAGGCAGCAGAGGAGCGCGGACAAGGCAGTCAGCGTATCCAATAAAGACCAAAGCAATTTATCACCTACTCGCATCAGAAGTAGAAGCTCACAGAATGTTGGTTCCCACCAGCTGCTGAGCCAGGAAGCGACAGTACCGAGTGTCTGTCATCATCCATAGACCATACGCACCCATAAACATCACGAACAGGATGTTCCCCCTCGGAGTACAGCAGGCATTCCAAACAATCAACAACCAACTCTTTAAAAAAAAAACATTCTTTAGACCTGCTCCCGTGGACACAGAAATTAGTACTTAGAAAATCATGGGAATGTGAGGCTTATGCCCCTATGAGCCCCTTTCAGGACCTGCCAAGTATCACGTCGGCCGCCCTAAGTGAAGGCAGGCACGACGAGGGCCTGAGGGCCCCTATTTCGGTCACCACGCAACTCAAGGAAATTCAGGCCGTTGCGCAGCGCCAGTTGGTTGGAAGAACCCACGCCCTGGGCAACCTGTTTGAATGTATCGAAGGCAGGCCCAGGGCTGGATACGGGATGTGGGCCTAACACAGGCCGTTGACAGTTGGGCGCGAGCAACCACTACAGGCCCAGGGCCTGAGTGGTGTGGACTGGGCCTCAGCCTACCGGGGCCTACCGGAAGCTTCTTGGGAAAGGCCCAGCGCAGCCTGGGACAGCAAGCAGGCAGGCCACTTCCATATAGCAAAGGGCCTGCCTCCGCATTTGGCATTCGGGTGCTGGCTGCATGCTGCGCAAGCGCTGCTGCGCTGAAGCTCGCCGGCACTCACGCGCTCACGGGCGAGCAGGAAGGAGCAGGCAGCCATAGCTGAGCTGCACTGCTGTAAGCTGGGTGTGGCACAGGGTGGTCCTTGGGTGCAAGTGGCATCTGTGTGTTGGGGAACGAGGTTGTGAGTGAGGCGAGAGACATACCTGGTGCTGGAAGCGTGCGGCATTGGCCGCTATCTGCTCGTACTTCGGGAGAGCTGTTGTCATCAACTTCGGCATTGTAGTATAGCTAGATAGGATCTGCCATATGTAGTCTGGGCGCCGAGCGCCAGATAGGATATCAACTTTGGTTCTTCGTTGATGATGATGATGGGACTATTTCAGCATTGTCAACTATGGACTCTTGGTGTGTTCTTATTTGGTGAAAACTCGTGATGCAATTCTGCTGTTGGTTTGAGGTCACGACTATCTGGACTCATATGTATGATGCTGTTTGATTGCTGAAGTTCGCTATTGCTCATCTTCCTTGCAGGAATGCAACCAAAAAAAAAAAAAAAAAAAAAAAAAAAAAAAAGGAAGGAATGCAAGGCATGCGGCTTGCTGGCCCTGTCAACCATAGGCCCTGAAGCCCGCTGAGTCGCTGACCCAGAACTTTGAGCCCCCCGGGCCTTTTTCTGGATATAAACGGGGGATCCCACAGGCCCTGGGCACCAGACAGGTACAGCCAAGTACAGGCCATGTGTGACCACGCCCTGGGGTCCATAGGTGCTACGAGGTGGGCCTTATGGCCAATGAGAATGCAGGGAACAGCGACATCCACATCGGGCAGTTGTGCCCTCAACCGAACGGGGCCCAGGGCGCGTTCCAGAAGGGCCCTGGGCACGGATACTGGAAATGGCCCAGAAGCTACTACTGGGTACCACCGCACTCACGCGTCCAGGCCGGCCTGATTTTCCGTATAGGAAAGTGCTTGGCCTCGGTCGGGCATATTCTGGCCTGGAAGCTTATGCGTACGCAGTGCTGTGACGCTGGCTGGCTTGCACTCGCGCTGGAGCTGGCTGGGCTGGTGGAGAAGGCGCTGGCGGGGCGCTTGAACGCTGCCTGAGAGCAGCAGGCAGTGCAGCGGCGGCCATAGCCAGGCCGCTTGCTGGCTGTCGCTAGAAGGGAGTAGAGTGGTGGTCCTGGGGCATGATGACGCAGTGTGGGTGAGAAGAGGGTTGGGCGCTTACCTGGTGATGATGGTGTTGGTTAGTGAAGCTGACGTCTCCGTTCGTCATCTGGCAGTTGTACTTCATGAAGACATGTTGACGTCATAGTTGGATAGGCGAGAGTCTAGGTGCCGTCAGATCGTAGTCTGTGCGCCAGGCGCCATGATAGATGGATACAATTACGGTGGAGGCGAGATATGGGCTGACATTGTCAATTGAGTTCATGGCTTTGCTCGTCTATTGGTGTGTACTTGGTGCCTTCTACTTTTCTGTTCGAGCACATGGCTTTCTGGCTTTCAATAAGATGATACAATTTGGTTTGTGTACTTCGCATGGCTCATTTTCCTTGCAGGACGAACAACGTACGAAAAAAAAAAAGAAAAAAAAAGACGTGCATGAAAATGAGTGGTTGTGGTTGTGGTTGTGCTTGTGTGTGTGTGTGTGTGTGTGTGTGTGTGTGTGTGTGTGTGTGTGTGTGTGTGTGTGTGTGTGTTTGTGTGTTTGTGTATGCATGAGAATGTGCAGGTGAAGGATGCGACATTCAGCGAAGTTCTGGCGTTTTTAGATGCAGCGGACCTCCATGGAAAGTCTGTCATGACCAATTTCGGCGGGGCCTCAAATCTAGTCGACACCTATGGCTCAGCCACAGCAAGTGCTGCCGGGCAACCGACTCCACCTCCGCCGGGTCGCTCGGTCTCTCAAGAGTCCCGTGCCCTCAAGCGCATGGTTCTCAGACTCAGAGACTAAAGCTCAATTGTAGCCAATCCAAGTACCTGCAATTTTGCTAAGGAGAATTCAGAATTCTGTTTGCGGAAATTTTGCTAGACTTACAGAGACTAACTGGCGGGGGGTGTTATGCTTGTGGTCGGAAAGCATGAACCTGGTCATAATCATGGTCATGTACGTACGTTGTTAGCATCAACATAGCACTAGTGAGGCCTGCCCCTAACTGACAGATTTCACTGGTGCTGTGTTTTTGCTGTGTTTTTGCTGTGTTAACATGCACACAGCCAGTTTTGTGACCAGATTCATCCTTTCTGAGTGCAAACATGTGCACCAGTGGGCCCTGGCTCTAACCGTTACGAGTATTGGGAGATGTGATCTGTCAGTGTGGCAGTGGGTGACTTTTATCGAGGACGAAAACATTCTAAAATCAATGAAAATTTTGAAGTATTATAATATTATTGCTATTATATCATTATATCATGGCTACGATAGGGACATCCGGAGCGCCATCCAGACGGTTTGGTCTGGAAGGTCCAGATCACCCGAATTTCAAGGGGAAAAAAAAAAAGAAAAGGTTTGGGAACCTTCTCCCCAAAATTGTTTTGGTGGTTTTTCAGGCCCATTTTTGTTTTCTCTTGCGGTCCGGTCGTGGTCGATCTGTTTAATAATTTATTATATGTACCCAGTATTTCAATTGTTATTCATTTATTACTTTTCAAAAGTTTTTTTAAGTTTTTATAGCTTTTGACTTTTAGCTCAAGTTTGGTTAACTATGCCGACATGACTGTGAGGCAAAAGTGGTTTATATTGTCATTCTGCATAACATACTTTTTTTTTCAGATTTTTTGTGTTTTTTTTTAAGGTCCGGACATTTCCGGACCTGTTTACTGGTCTGGACCGTCTGGAACCATGCATGTCCGGAAGTCCGGACCCGACCGGTCCCCGAACATGAGCTGTCTGGGTCCGGGTCTGGCATAGCCATGATCATTATTGTTGTATAATATAGTTACTAATAATTATGTAGTATGTACTCTGTACTGATTATTATTATTATTATTATTATTATTATTATTATTATTATTATTAGTCTTTTTCTTTTTTTTTCTAACCAAAAAAGTCAGCTGGCCCAGTCGGATTTGTACCATTACAAATGGTATTGAGAAAAAAAAAAGGAAAGTGTAGTATCCCCCTGAGGGCACGGCTGGAACGAGGTCCCACTAGCAAGGAGGATTGGGACTTGGATTCAGGAATCCTCCTGACAACGCTACCTACTACCTACTGAGTAGCCGAAACCGGTAGGGGAGAGGCCACCAGATTGTGGGCAGTTTCAATGGGTATATGAGCTCTGGAGATGGTGATATATTGTTGCCTTTTTCGTCATGAGCTTCGTAGGGTGAGCTTCTTTTTTTCTTCTTCTTCTTCTTTTTTTTTTTAACACCCCGGTCTATTCATGGGGAGCAGCACCTGCTGGGAACCGACCCAACGTCCCTTATAATAAGATTGCATCAGATTACAAAACTGAGCATGCATTTTATGATACTTTTGAGAAATACCGGAGCCACTACCCAGCTTTGGTTGAAATATAATTCACAAGAAATTTATGAAATTTATGAAATTTAAGAAAGACTATGAAATTCATGAACACCTGCAAGTCCTACGTCTACGTTATCCCTCATTCCAGGTGACTATCGACCTAAACCCTAAACCCTAAACTCCAAACTTAGCTGTGCTGTGTTTGTTGTCACAACCAGGCCTATACCTGGTCTCACGCCGCCAACATACTACTGTGAGGATTGAGCCCTCAATGGGGCCTTGCCAACATTCACATGTTCTGGGCTAAGGACCCCAACAAGCCTCGTGCCCGCCCTACGTGAAGGCGGGCCAGAATATCCACAAGAGGCCTTCCATTCAGCATTTCACGAAGTGGGTATCAGACAGTTGCCGCACGCCAGTTGGTTGGAGTGCATCATGAGCCCAGACTCCTGCAGAGGCAGTTAAGCCCAGGGCCTCAGTTGGTTGAGCCCTGGGCACCAGTCTGGGAGGCCGACACATCACACATTGGACGATGGCCTATGGAAAAGCAGCATTGTGTCGTAGAGGCAGAGCGAACCAATGGGAAACCGGAACGGGGTCTGAATCTGGACAATGGCCCTGGCCCAAGGGGCGCAACTGCACTACCTGGGCCCCATCTGTGTTGTGCCTGGGCCCAGGCGCAGGCCCGAGGGAGGCCGCCCACACGCAGCAAGGCATATAGGCAGAATGTGCGAGTGGGCAGGGATCTTGGCCGATGCAGGCATTGCGGGCACGCTGCTGCATTGGAGCGCTAGTGCTTGCGCTACGCTCTGGCTGAGAGAAAGCTGGCTGGCGCTAAGCGGTAGGGCGCAGCTGGGGTGCAAGGTGCTGGCAGCCATAGCCGGGATGCAGGAGGGCGCAGAAGGAGGTGAGGGCGAAGGTGGTTTTCGGAAGAAGGAGGAGACGATGAGTGGGAGTCAGGGAAGAGAAGAGGGGAGCGAGTGAGTACTTACCTGGTGTGCGAGAGGAAGTCGGCATTGGTGTTGACGTCAAGCACGCTCGTCTTCAAGTCATCCTGGTCGCGTCATGCTGTAGTTGTAGGGATAGGCTGTAGAGTAGATAGGGCGCCCGGCGCCGTTTGAAGAGAGAGCTACATTGGGTTCAGATATTGGTGTGGCCCTTCGGGCTTGGACATTGACTCTCGATTCTGCTGTATCGTTCTCAAATTGGATGGTTCCTTGGTTCCAATGTGCTATCTGCTCTTTGCTTGACTACATGGACTTCAGCGTGATTTGCAATTTGGATTTCTGTACTTCATTCACACTCATGTTCCTTGCACTACCGTCTTCACGCGAATAAAATTTATAAAACGCCCAGTGATTATCACGGCATCTGGACTGAAAGTTGTGCCAAATGCAGCTATAATGACCGGGCGTTCTGTTCGGGTGAAGACGTTAGGCTACAGGGCAGTGCGACCCACCCAGCTCCGACCATCGTCGTCCTGGCAGCGAGCTGATGTGCATTGAAGCTATTGATTCATATCATTTGCTCACGGTCTACTAGACATACAAGCTATGTGGATGGTTTTTTGGGTTGGATCTTTTGTGATATAAGCTCTATTGTGAGCTACTCCCTGTGGTGGACTGTACTCATCTGACTTATTCGGGATTATTGAGATAATTTTATTAATTTAATAATTATTTTGAATAGTGTATCTCGAAGACTTGGTTGGCGCTTGGTTGTGCTGATTTTGGTGTGCGCGATAGCATCGTCGTGTGTATTGGTGTATGCTTCCCTATGCGATCCTCATGCTGAGACTGTTTGTGCCGGGTAGTCTGTCTTCTGTCCATCCATCCACCCGTATCTGGACGTGTTTGGGGCGAGGTGCAGAAAATTGGGATTCAACTGCTTTTCTGCATCTCTTTACGAAACACATCCAGATTCAGGAGCTCAATCCAACCCTCCTTGCTAGTGGGACCTCGCCCCAGGTGGAGCAGTCGAAACTCTTCAGGAAATGGCCACTATCTTTGTGGACAGTTCTGTGCATGTTTGGAAATGTGCTCGGCTACTTGGGTCACCCGTCCATGCATCCGAGGCAGACAAGTCCCCCGGGGGTCACCTGCACAGGGAACCCCGTGCAGGCCAAAATCAGCCCTTACTTTCTTTTTTTTATTTTCCCCTGAGTGGCACACCTCTGCGCCCACCTGGCTCGGTCCAAGTCCGGGCTGATTTTCACTTATAAAATGCTTTCAGGTTCGCCCAAACCAGACTCAAACAAACTCAGAAGAGTCAGAACAGACTAAAAAAGACAGACCCAAAACAGACTCAAACACACTCGAAACAAGTTGAAAACAGAATCAAACAGTCTCAAATGGACCTGTAGACTAAAACACACTCAACAGAGTCTCAAACAGACTCACACACACTCAAAACAGGCCGAAAAGAGGCCCAAAACAGGCTCAAAACAGGCTCAAACAGGCTCAAAACAGGCTCAAAACAGGCTCAAAACAGGCTCAAAATAGGCTCAAAACAGGCTCAAACAGTCCGGTAACGGACTTGAGCAGACTTAAACAGACTCAAAATTGACTCGGAAGAGACTAAAACAGACTCAACAGAGTCTCAAACAGACTCACACAGACTCAAAACAGACTCACACAGACTCAAAACAGGCTCGAAACAGGCTCAAAACAGGCTCAAACAGTCCCGTAATAGACTTAAACAGACTCAAAATTGACTCGCAAAAGTCAGAACAGGATTGAACAGACTCAAACAGACCCAGAGACTCAAAACAGACAAAACGGAAGCAAAACGGAATCAAAACGGAATCGAAATGGAATCAAAACGGGATCAAAACGGAATCAAAACAGAACCAAAACAGAATCAAAACAGACTCAAGCAGACTGAAAACAGACTCGAACAGGATAAAGAGTCAAAAGACTCAAAACATAATCATTCGCAATATAGTGTTAAGAATCACACGAGTCATTGTCGTCACTTCACAAACAGCCTCCCCGAATGACAAAAGTAGTAGGAGTTTTTTTTTTTGAGCTCCGTTGGAGCTCTGCGAGCTGCACCCAATGGACCAGCGGAGCCACTGGGTCTGAAAAGGGCCCATGGAGGCCAAAGGAGCAAAATCCGCCTGGCACCCCGCCCGGGGCATATGCATGACCGCGCGGCCTGGTGGCCTTCTCTGCGGCTCTGTGCGTCCGGCCAAACATCCTAAGAAATGTGTCTTTTTTTTTTGTTTTTGTTTTGCATATGGTTGCTCTTTCTTCGTGCGACCGATACAGAAAATTTTCCTGGCTTCATCTGTCATTTCTGTACTCGTGCTGCGCCTGAGTGTTGCCCCACCAGCGTATCTTATCCAGAAGGACCGGACCTGAACACGGAGGAAATCAAACAAATAATAAAAAATCTGCAAAAAGCGACAGCGAGAAACCTGTAACAGATAGCACAATGCAAATTTGAAAAACGTTTATTGCCTCGCAATCTTTTTTTTTGGTTTCCTTTTCTTTTTTTTTCTTTCCCCCCCCCCCTCTTTTTTTCCTTCTTTCCTTTTTTAAAGAAGTCGAGGTTGTTGTAGAGGTTGGAAGCCAGACTATGAAAGTCACCTTCCGCAGTCCGCCATTAGGTTATCCAGAAGAAGAAGGAAAAAAAAAAGGTTATCCAGATGGTCTACAGAGGGCCCCATTCCTTATGAGACCCCCTCCGCCACCCGCTCTCACAATCTTGCTGGAATACCTTTTATGCTCGTAAAGGGCCGCGTCATCATTCACAATTGTGACACGATTGCAGATGATATCTGAGAATTACAGCAAATCAAAATTGAAAACTTATTTTTGTCTTCCAACTGGTTTCCAACTTTCCACACGTTTCTAGCCTTTTTGTTATTTCTGAAATTCACTCTGTTAAATCTGTTTGCAGTTTTCTCTA